TACAATGACAAGGACAGTCCCCGACCCCCACCACGACAAAGAATTATCTGGCCCCAAATGCCAACAGTGCTAAGGTTGAGAAAGCCTGGTCTAGAGTCAGCCTGCCTGGGGTTCAAGTCACTTATAATCTGTATAGCTGTTGGTAAATTATTTTACATGTTTGTGCTTATTGAGTGTCTTCAACAATAAAATTAGAATAAATAAGGCTGGGCACGGTGGCTCATGCCTGTAATCCCAGCACTTTGGGAGGCCAAGGTGGGTGGATCACAAGGTCAGGAGATCGAGACCATCCTGGATAACACAGTAAAACCCCATCTCTACTAAAAATACAAAAAATTAGCTGGGCGTGGTGGCGGGCACCTGAAGTCCCAGCTACTTGGGAGGCTGAGGCAGGAGAATGGTGTGAACCTGGGAGGCAGAGCTTGCAGTGAGCTGAGATAGTGCCACTGCACTCCAGCCTGGGTGACAGAACATGACTCTGTCTCAAAAAAAAAATAATAAATAAAAAAATAAAATTAGAATAAATAATAACAATATTCATTTTATTGATTTTTTATGATAATAAAATAAATTACACAAGAAAGGAGCTAAGGACAATGTCTGGAACAAAGCAAGTGCTCAACAAATATTTGCTTTTGTTATCATATGCATTGAAAAAAAATTGAGAATACACCAAAATTTTAACAGTGATTGTTTCTAGGTGGCAAGATCATGACTGATTTTTATTGTCATTATCTTTTTATACTGCTTTATATTTTCCAAATTTTCTAGAATGATATTTGTATTAATCTAATATCCAAAAACAGGTTTTAAAAGAATGCAGAAAAAAGAACTTTACTTGTGATATAGTAAAAAAAGCACAGAATTTAAAAAGACCTAGATTCAGATCCTGACTCTACCTGCCGTCTATGGACATTGAACAGGTAAGTTAATCTCTTTGAGCTTCAGTTTCCTCAGCGAAAATTGGGGCTAATAATGCATATCATAGAGAGTTGCTATGAGAATTAAACATGACAGACATGCAGTGTCTGGAAGAGTATACTGAATGAAAGGCTCCAGGAGATGACTGCTTTAAAGGTTTGGTCAAGGGAAAATAACTCTACAAACAGGGAAATATATTAATGATGGTAACTCCCCTTTTGCCTTTTATTTTTTGGTTTTTGAGATAGGGTCTTGCTTTGTCACCCAGGTTGGAGTGCAGTGGAGCGATCACCGCTCACTGCACCCTCAACCTCCCAGGCCCATGCAATCTTCCCACCTCAGCTTCCTGAGGAGCTGGGACCACAGGTGCGTGCCACCACACCCAGCTATTTTTGTAGATCTCCCTGTTTTTTTGTTTTGTTTTGTTTTTGTTTTTGAGACGGAGTCTTGCTCTGTCACCCAGGCTGGAGTGCAGTGGCACAATCTCAGCTCACTGCAACCTCCACCTCCCGGGTGCAAGCAATTCTCCTGCCTCAGCCTCCCGAGTAGCTGGGATTACAGGCACCTGCCACCATGCCCAGCTAATTTTTGTATTTTTAGTAGAGATGGGGTTTCAGCATGTTGGCCAGGATGGCCTAGAACTCCTGACCTTAAGTGTTCTGCCCGCCTCAGCCTCCCAAACTGCTGGGATTACAGGCATGAGCAACCATGTCTGGCCTAAGGTCTCCCTATGTTTAGGCTGGTCTCAAATTCCTGGGCTCAAGCAATCCTCCCGCCTTAGCCTCCCAAAGTACTGGGATTACAGGCATGAGTCATGGCACTCAGCCTCCCTTTTCCTTTTTAAACCATCCTCTCAGAGATCACAACTCCCATGTCATCCAATTTTTTGCCTTGGCTGATAGAGAATAAACTGTGTCCACACTCTGGTCCTTTGCTCTCCTCTCCCCTCCCTATATACACCCTAGGAACGGACTTGATCATTCCCCTGGCAGGCCCTGACTCATTTTGCAGGGTTTACTTGCAGGCAAGCTGTTGTGTCTGAAAGGCAGGACTCAGGTATCACTTTCTCATATTCTTCACCCATGCTCATTGTCCCTCTTCTTATTTCTGCTTTCACCCTTCACCTCTAGGTTGAAATCATACTTGGCAAGGCCTCTCCTCGAGGGGAAGCCTCTCCGCTTTCTCTCCCTCTGTTCTATCCTCCCATTTAGCTGGTTGAGTAGGTTGCCCCCTTTTAGATTCCAGAAGGATGCGTAGGAAGCGCAGCTAGGCTTCCAGATCCATGCCTCATGTGTGTGCTAGCCCTGCTTATCTGAGAAGCCCTGCATGTGTGGGGGCATGTAGCACTTGCCAGCTGGTTTGTGCTTCCATCAGGGCTGTTGTCTCTTTTGTGCAGCTTGCTCAGCAGGTAATGCTTGAGGTGAGCAGCATGAGCTGGTAGAATTCAAGGACCCACACCTTATCCATAACCCCTTAATGATTTAATTAGATGAAAAAATCATGGGTTATATTTGTGTATATTATCAGGAGGGTGACTATTTTAAGCCTTACTATCTTGCTAACTTGAATTTAAATCCTGACCAAGCTTTCAAAATGCCCCAGGACAATCTTCTTCATTCAGAACAATCTTCTTCAGTCATGCCATGGTTTGGGAAAGGCAGTCTGATCCTAACCCACAGTGACCCTCAAGATCCCAGAGTTCCCTAGGAAAGAGTCCTGCAGTCCTATGAGCTTTCTATACAGAGTTCTAAGCACTGGGAGCCAGACTGAATTAGGAGAGAATTGCCTGGGGCAGGAGTTGACTTCTCAAGACATTCACTCTCAAACTGAGTTGAACTGTTTCAACACTTGGAGATGGGACCACGCAAAGCATCAGAGGAAAATAAGACTGTTGGGGTGCTTCCATCTAGATATGAATAAAAATATCAGGAGAACTTCATTCTAAATGTAAATAAAAATGTCAGGGGGAATAGTGATCTCCAGGAAATAATTTATGTATACTTTCTAAACTCTAATTTGCTGCTGCTCCAGGGCCAGTCTAACTATATAAACTTCAGGCATAATTTTGACTGTTACCAAGTTCTTACTACACATGTGTCTCCTCACTGTCCTCCCTATAAATACATGCAAAATGAAACAGGCATGGACTCCCAAATTGGCACCAGCAGAATACTGTCATTGTTTTGAGTCTTCTCAGACTTCATTCACAAGAGTATATTGAGAGCTCACCATAAATCAGGCCTACTGATAAGTGCTAGAAATCCAAAGAGGAAAGGATACCGTCCCTCAAGAAGCTCACTCATGTGACTATAATAGCATAAAAGTGTTACTGGTCCCAGGGAAATGTAGATTTCAGCAGGGATCAAAGGCTTAAGCTAAAAGACTAAAGTTCAATATTGTGGAGGACACAATTACTTTTTAAAGTACTGCGCAATGAAACCCTGAAGGGAACTAGTAACTTTTTAGTTTTTCCATAGCTTATAGGAATCAGATCAGTCATCTTTTATTATCAAAGGCCAGAAGGAAATTCACACAGATCAAAAAAGGAAATCTTTATATCTCAGGAATTTCTAGCAGTTAAAAAAAGCTATTAGCAAACCCCTCTTTTACCCTTAAAAACCTAAAATAATTTGCAAAAGAAACCTATTCCCTTATTTTAAGGTATAATATCATTTTAAAACAATAAATCTAGTCAGTTTGATATTACAGTTTATATACATAGTTTTAGAAGTTTTTAATCTTTTTATTTTATTTTGAGAACTAGGTAGGTGCTTTTAAAGACAACATGCTTAGGTTGGCCTTGCTGGGTTCTGAGGATGGAAGAGTGTTTCTAGGTTCGATTTTTTAAAAAACCCATGACATAATTCCAGATTTCTTTTTCTTTAGACATCAGTTGGTCACCATAGTAACATAGCATTTTACTACAGAGATCTATACAGCACAAGGGAAACAGAATAGCAATTACTTACTGGGTTACTTGGGGGTACAGAATGTGACTACAGGGATAATTTAAGATTAAATATAGATTTCTCTGGGGATCTGTTTTAGCAAAGCAAGCTGATTCAATCTTCTAGTAGCGTCAGTTGAACGAAATTTGAAGCCAAATTGACTGCTGACATCATTTGAAATAATATGAGGAGGCAAGCAGCATAGCTTAGTGGTTAAGAGCACGGGCTTTGGGGTCAAGCTTCATAGGTCCAAGTTCTGTTTCTACTATTTGCTAGCTGTGTGACCTTGGGAAAGTTCCCTAACTTCTCTGTGCCTCTGTTTCTTCATCTCTAAAATGTGGGTAATAAAACCTTCCTCAAAGGGTTTTTATAAGGATTCAATGGCTGTTTGTGCTTAGAAGAGTGCCTTGCACATCAGCAAGAACTTTCTTAAGTATTTGTTAAATAAAGACATACTAAAATTTAAAGGGGCTCATCTCTTTGTGCTGAAAATAGTCAAATACATGAAAATTTGAGTTCATGGCTGATTATTTTAGCCTGTAACTTTGATAGATTCCTTTGAGAACTTCCCCAGGGTCTTGTGGCTAGCAATTCTACAAGATGTGAAATTCTGTGGCAGTCTACTGTCCTAAATTAGAGCTGGGAACAATCACAAGCAGCCCTGGTACCAGGAACATCAGAAGGAAGATGATCGCACAGCACAAAGGAACAGCATGCCTGCCCACTTTGGCTCCCCAAGCCACTGCCAATAACCTCTGGGCAAAGCATAAGCAGCTGAAAAGGGATGATACATGCTTTTATTGCAGTGATGCTGAAACCTAGTTGGTTTCGGTAATTTTTTCCCCCTCTTTCCAGGATTCAAGGGGAAAAAATCCTTTTCATCAATGAGTGCTTTGTTTCATTAATTATCACCATACACAATTTCCATTCAATTTTTCAACAGGCACATACTCTGACGAATTTTCATTTTACAGAACTACCTAGGCATCTTTTCTGGACTGGTAACAAACCTAAAGCCTCTAACCAGCATCTAAGGCAGGACAAAATCTCCAAATTGCCTGGAAAAAAATAAGGCATTATGTCCTCTGAGCCAAATTTCAGTCGCAATACCAAGGGATTCCTATCACATACCTTCATCCGGACTTGATTTCAGAGACGTTCTCCTTAGATCTTCTTGGTCAGGAATAGCCCTTGCATACGAGTTTGGAGAATGCCATAAACCACCAGGAAAGCCTGGAAACACATTCATTTCTGTCCTCTGCCTTCCCCTTGGCTCACAGCCTGCTTCCTGTTAGGGAGACAAGATGACGCTGTGCAGGGTAGACTGTTAAACCATCTTCCCGCCCCCAGCCCCACTCTCTTGTTGCCCCTCCTTTCTCCTTTCCAAGGCTCTGGAATGTGTCACATGGGAAATGGATCATGTGGCTGAAGGGGAGAATGTGGCCATCTTCTCCCTCCCTTCCCCCACTTTTCCTTTCAGGAGCAAAGCAGCAGAAATCTCTGCCCTGATTGGCTCAGACCAAAAATCTCCATATGAAAAGGGGAAGATTCAATCACCCAAACCTCCTTCCTTCTCTATTTTCTTTTTTTTCTATCTGAAGATTTTATCCTGACCATTCAGAGTTGCTCAGTATGGAAGATAAATGATGCTTTCTTAACCTCAACCCCTCTCTTTCTTTCTTACAGTCAGTACCCTGACCTGGCAAGGTGTTCCTTAACCTGCCCTCTGGATCCCCCTTAGCATACATCTGGGACAATGGAGTGTTCAGCACCACGGACAGCATTACACCCCCTTCAGTGCTTGTTAAAGCCATTTGTCTATTTCACTCTCAAGTAAATAACAATATTTTTAAAAATTTCCCTGACGTCCTGTGCCTAAATATAAACCACATCATATGTTTAGGGCTCTGACTTCCCCTACTATCAGTTTACTGTTACCTTATAAACACAAACATAATTTTTATATTTCCTTAAACCCAAAAGACTATCCCATACTTATCTCCCTGTCCCCATCCCATCACCCATCCTCACCCTTTAAATATGATCTATGTTTTATTTGTGTGTGTGAGGGGGGGAGGGAGATTTCTGTAACATAGTTTACTGTATGCCCAAGTATCTGTGCTTATGGGGAAAACCAGAGAAACACACAGGAATTCTGGGGTATACAAGTCTAGATGTTGTTAGCCCCATCCCTAGGTCTCAGGCAAGGCTGAAGTGGAGAGGCAGGGAGGGAGCCTGGTTGGAGCTGTTTTGTGCAGGGTCTATCCTGCTTTGCTGACGTCCTCGTTGCCATGGTGCTAGGTAACTGCTGAAGAGGATGATTTCTTTTAAAACCGGTCACCATGGGACCCTGCTGACTAAAGAAAGGAAGAGGGAAAAGGGCTGAATTGCTGAGGAGGGATTTCAGCTAGCATTCTCAGAGCCAAATTGGATTGCTCTTGATGCTCAATCTTGAAAGGAATCTAGGAATTAGTATGGACACTGCAATAGTTACTCTCCCCATCCTCCACCGCTTCTTTCCTTCAAAATCTAGTTAGGGGCAACTGAATGAGAATTCCAGCTTCACAGATTGACCCTGAAGTGCCATCACAGGGTGGTGGAAAGAACTCAAGAAATCTGTTTCTCCTCAGGTTAAAACATCTGACATTTGGGAAGCCATTATCTAAGTCCTAACAGCCTTAATTGGGAGATACTTTATAACCACACCTGATTGTCCATACTAGGAACAATGTATGGATTCTTTATAACACTATGGGAGAAAAGACAATTTTTAAAATGTGAGTTGCTGAATTGTTTTAAATAAATACAAATTTTATTAATACTTGGATAGCATTTGGACTACTCCAAGTCAGAAATATAAACTGGCTATATATTTGTCTCATAATACTGGCATATAACTTATTGTTTCTAATTCAGAATACTAACCAAGGCAGTTCAGAATATTTATTTTTTGAAAGAGGAATGCTGACTTGCAATGTGCAAAAATGAAAACTTTGTTAGCAAAGAGGTGGCACAGGGAAGCTGGAGTATAATTTTCAAGAAACTGAAGGTTCTTCCTGGATCAACATCCTCATCGTATTTTCTACTTTTATTTTAGGAGGAGTGAGGTTAATTCTAGTTTTCCTATGTAAGACTCAGAGAAATTCAACTGTTAATTTTAACACTTGACATTTTAAGAAAATTCATTTATCAAGAAAGTTAGATATTGAAGAAATTCATTGAGTCAGCAGGCTGGTGACTTGGATATCATCTCCTCTCTTAGTCAAGAATAATTACAACAACAATAAAAACAACTAATATTTAAGATATGCCAGGTATTTACATACATTATATCATTTAATCCTATCAACCCAACAAGACGAGTACTATTACTGGCATTTCTGTTTTACAGATGAAGAAATGGAGGCTTGGGGGGATAAGTAATGTGCCCAAAGTTGCATAGTGTGGGAGCTAGGATTTGGAACCACTGACTCAGCCTCCAGAGCAGGCATAGTGTACTATTCTGCATCATGAATAGACTAGACTAAAATAACTGGCCAATTTAATGTGCTGTGACTTACTACTATGGCCCCTTGACATGAGAAATCACAAAGATTGTTTTAAATTACTTGAGACCAAAAAAATGACCAATGTATTTATTCCTTCCAGGATGACTGCATGTATATATTATGGCTTAATGATATTTAAAATCATTTTGTAAGGAGCCATAACCCAAAATTTTATTAAGGATGGTCATAAAACACGTTACATAATATACTAATTCTGCTTAAAAGATATTGCCAAAGTTATAATCACCAAACTTACTCCTGACATTGGAAGAAGATAAGGAAACAGTTGTCTTCCATCCAAATGCACAAAATTCCACAATACTTGTGCACCTGGGGTAATATTCTGAACATGAGTAATGTGATCTTTTTCTCATCTGCCTGGGGAATCCATTTGCCCTGGAGATAGGATTTTGGCACTGTTTAGATGTTACAAAAGGAATGGAAAAAAAGAAATTAATATTTGGCTTCTGAAATTCAAAATAGCAACAAGACAATAGGCTTGAAATCCAGGCTATTGTTTTGAAAGCCAGTCTCTAAATTCCTTTATTTCTGCCCTTAGCTTGTCATCAACCAAACCTGGAAGACTTTGCTCAGTATTCTGTACTATAGACCTCTGGCTTCACGCAAAAACTTTCCAAGAAGTCCCAAAGCATGCAGAGTTTTATGGGAACTAATTTCTAGATCCTCAACTTCTTTTTTTTTTTTTTTTTGAGACGGAGTCTCGCTCTGCCGCCCAGGCTGGAGTGCAGTGGCCGGATCTCAGCTCACTGCAAGCTCCGCCTCCCGGGTTCACGCCATTCTCCGGCCTCAGCCTCCCAAGTAGCTGGGACTACAGGCGCCCGCCACCTCACCCGGCTAGTTTTTTGTATTTCTTAATAGAGACGGGGTTTCACCGTGTTAGCCAGGATGGTCTCGATCTCCTGACCTCGTGATCCGCCCGTCTCAGCCTCCCAAAGTGCTGGGATTACAGGCTTGAGCCACCGCGCCCGGCCGATCCTCAACTTCTATAAGTATGCATTCTAAAACAGCTTTTCTGAGAACTGGTGCAGTCGAGATGCCATGCTGGTTCTTGGTTTCCACTTAGCTTTTCTTCCATTTTACCATAGATTGCCGAACCTCTCTTCCACCTTTACTTCAAATCCTGCATTGCCTGAATTTAAAAACCTCCTGGGGACCAAACTAGGAATAACTGAAAATACTGGGGATAGTATTGAGAAAGTGAATAGCTCCAATAACTGGGTAACAAATCCTTTTAAAAATCAGGAGCTTTCCAAGTGCTTTCAACAAAATTGGAAACAAACCACTACCCAGTGGTCCACTGAGAAATTCATTAAAATAGTTTTCTTAAAAGAGTGCTCTTACCGGGCACAGTGGCATGTGCCTGTGTTCCCAGCAACACAGAAGGCTGAGGTGGGAGGATCGCTTGCACCCAGGAGGCTGAGGCTTCAGTGAGCTCTGATGATGCCACTGCACTCTAGCCTGGGAGACAAAGCTAGACTCCGTCTCTTAAAAAAAGAAAGTTCTTCTTTACAGAAAAATGCTAGTTAATAAATACAGACTACTACAGTTAGAACACCATTTTTGCAACCCCCAGTGAAATAACTGACTCAGGAAAAGATCACAAAAGGTGTTCAAAGCATAAGATGAAAAGTTGTTGAACAGGTTCTTTGTAGCTTACAAAGTGCAAAGGGATGTGTGTCCTTTTTCAATGGAGTGATTGGGGGGGTCATCATCTCACCAAGTGACCAAATTTCACGTTACTAATAGTGAGATAAGCTGAAATTATGTGCCTAACATGAAATGATGTAACCTACTCAATGTTACTGAAGTATTCTTTCTAAAAATGTTTAACCTGAATATAATCAAATCTGTACATATAATGTCGAGGTTTTGTTTTGTTTTTTAATAAAAAGGCAAGGGTTGGAGAAACAAGTTATAAGATATTATGAGGAAATAATCAGCCAAATCGAGAATGCAGAATAGTCTACAAGACAACTAGCTTAGACTCATCAAAAAGTCAAATCATGAGATAAAAGGCTGCCTACCACAGTAAGTTACCTCCATGTTGAGAGCAGTGCTCAGGGTAAGGGACTTCTGCCTTGACTCCCTTTTTAAGACAACTGCCCAAGTCCCTCATACCCCATTCCTTGCATTTCTATGGCTGTTCAGGCTAAGTCCACAATAGCATGGTCAGACAGAGATATGATAATCAATGATTCCAAGCCTTTCTGTTCCCTTGAAGGATGCTGAACTAACAGCCAGTAGGCCAGCCACAACCAAGGCAAGGTAACCCCACAGCAGGGGCCAGGGGTACTGAGTCTGCCAGGGGAGGTGGCCAATACTCCCTGGGAGATTTTTCTGAATCCAAAGATGGGCCATGAGTTCACCAGCTACAGGTTTCAGCATCACAGGACAGCATGTTCCCCAGGGATCAGGCAGACAAGGGGTATGTATTAGGTTGTTCTTGCATTGCTATGAAGAAATACCTGAAATTGGGTAATTTGTAAAGAGATTTAATTGTACACTTTTGCAGACTGTATAGGAGGCATGGTGCCCACATCAGCTCAGTGTCTGGGGAGGACTCAGGGAGCTTTTACTTATGGCAGAAGGTAAAACAGAAGCTTGCATGTCACATGGCGAAAGCAGGATCAAGAGAGAGAGTTGGGGGTGGTGCCACACACTTACACAGCAGATCTTGAGAGAATTCACTCACTATAGTGAGAATAGCACCAAGACATGG